TTATTATTCATTGCAAAATGTGATATCATTTTAATGAAAAAAAAAAAAAATTGAAAAACGCTAGAAAGCACGATAAAATAACTGTACTTACACCGCCGCCGCTGTAGTCACGTATAAAACTATGATAGATATCGTCATCGTACTCGGCTGTTCTGACACGAAAAACCGGTCTGTTCGTCCCGCAGGGCACCTAACCAAGCCAAAAAAACCGGGTCCAATGATAGGGGGAGGATCCAAGGCGGCTCGAGCACGTGGTGTTTCCGGATAACATAATGCCATAATATTATTTTTATAATAATAATAATACGGTAACATATTTTCGTTCTCAGTCAAACGTAATGACTATTATTATTATTGTTGCTGCTGCCGTTGCAGTACGCGTTCACATAATAAGGCGTGCCGAAAATAATACTCGTCGTGTGTTCATTTAAAGATGTTCATTTTTATACTAAACTGCGCCAACCACCTCACAACCTCCCAAAATCCTTCACATGTGCCGGAAATAAATGCCGTGGTACTCAGATGATAATATTTTTGTTATAATAGTTAACCCATAACGACTTCGTCACTTCGGGTTAAAACGATATAGGATTCCGTACATTTAAATTAGGCATTAGCTTGTGAGGATTTCAGCGTATCTACTGTTTGTTTACTGTCTCGCTGGCCCACACGTAACATCGAGAAAACGAATTCACGCAGTCATTTAGATACTATAATCACTTGATACAACAATATTATACTATAGAATAGTATTTTTAAAAGAATGAAATATTGATTTGGTTTAAATATTCTCTCAAAAAAATTATACAGTATGTTGGTTGTTGAACTAATTGTTGCCAAAAACATTATAGGAAATAATTATTAATAAATTGTATTATTGTAATTAACTTAGAAGTCAATACCGACTGTCGACAACCGCTGTATCTTAAACCAGTGTGAATGTTCAATGTAGGTATAGAACATTTTTTTTTTTTTTAGTAATAGTTTAATGTTTTAAGTTTTTATGATAATTATTTATTGAATATTGACAATACAACAAAAATCGTTTGAGGTAAAATCCTTATTTTGCTTTTGAATATTATATTATCTTTTCGTTGAAATTTTATCTTCAAAGTTCAAACACTCAAAGAAATATTGTGTTCTTTTTAGAAAAAAATTTACCTTATTATTAATAGGAAACTCAATTGTTAAAATATGTATTTAGAAATAAAGGCTGACACGACGTTACAATCTTGAATAGTATTTTCATATTATGCAAAGATTTATCGTAATGAATTAAATTAAATTTTGTTCTTCAAATCGAACTTATCACATACAGTGATACCTATTCAATGGCGAAGTACAGCAAAAATACCTACTATACAGCTAAGCGAAATTTTATTATTATTGTTATCATAATAAATAGTATCACATTTGTCATTTACTCATCGACAGTGTTGTGCAATAGCTAATTTTGGTTAGATAAAATATGTATCTAGGTTCCTTATCAAATCAATGTAGATTTATGATTTATCCATCCAAGTTAGAATTTATAGTTTTATAGATAAATTTACATGATCATTTAAATTATTTAACATATTTTATTTATAATTGAATATTAAATAGTTACATATTAGTTTCATATTATATTTTTTCATTATCTATCTAGATCTAGATATTTTTTGAATTCGGTTATCTTATATTCTTTATTAGGGAAAAAAAATTATTAATATATAAATATATTTTTTTATAATGTGATTTGTTTTTTAAATATACGAAAAGTGAATTTTGTAAATACACAAAGTAATACAGTGTACTGCAGTAATGTTATTACATCGATAATATTGTTAAAACATGAATCATTTACCAGTTTTACTTTACTATCGAAAATGTTCTCTTTTACATTAGTACCTACCTACACAAAAACAGTTCTATTTTTTGTGAAATTACCTTAAAACTGGAAAAAAAATCCTATTTCAAAGGATTTATCTGTGTTGAAAATTCTTTTTTTTTATATTATTAAATTATCATATATAACACAATTTCTAAAATTATTTCCTTTGACTTTATTTTATTTTCAGTTTTGCATAATTTCATATATTTAACACACATTCTGCATTTAGTTTTGAATTTAATCGTTATTTTATTTTTATTTAAGTTTAGGAACGACAAAGATTTCTTCTGCTTGACATTTGTGTTTCTTTTGTTCATATCCTATATAATATTACGGGTACTAAGAAGATTAGAAACATTAGGAGATATGTTAATATACCCTGGTATATAGATTACAGCCTACAGATATACTATTATCATACAAGTCAAATTACCATATTATTTGTTGATTTAAATATATTGATATTAGACATAAGTAATCATATTAGTTGAAGAATAAAATACATATAATATTGATTATTGAAAAAAATTTAAGTCAAATTTATTATTTAATTTTATTATTTTAATGACTAATGAGTTAATTAGTCAATGGACAGATTTTTAATATTTTATTCCGAGTAAATATTACAACTACCTACCTACAGAAATACGTATCAATAACAACATTAAAATTAAAAAGTACCTAACTTGTATTTTGTAACCTTGAAGAATTAAATACCTATTTTTGTACAAAAATCACTAACAGATGATGTGAATTATTGCAAGTTGAAAGTTCCAATAATATCTACAACAGATAAATATATTGTGTTAGAGTCAACCGAATAAATTGTGGATTGTCGGGTTCTTTGGAGTGATTTCCTGCATCAAGCCGTTTACTTAGTATAATATCAATAACTTCTGACGTAGTGTGCTATTCATTTATTATGGATCATACTATCAATTATTATTATTGTTATCTTTTGACAATATTGTATGACAAAATAAAAAACGTTATTCCCTGAAATCGTTCTTCATAGTGCAGGTTGTGCTCATTGTGTTTATTATTCGACGTATAAATTTAAAATGGATATTATAAACGTAACAGGCGTTACAATCATTCTGTGGCAGAGTACACTCTTGTAGTCATAGTATATTCTTACGGTTATTATTTGTTTTGTCTTCGTGTACAACAAAGACGTACCAATTGTGTCTTGTACTTTAAATAGGGACAACACACGCATTTGCTTGTGTCCCTCCATTGACGGCATGAACAGTATTTTATTTAAAAAATCCCCTAACCTATTTCCATCATATGTTCAATTTTTAAAAAAATCTGGTTGGTTTTAAATTTTAATGATGGCCTATTAACACATTTAGGACGAAGACCGTGTTTTTGAAGATTTTTTTAAGATAATATTATCTTAAAAAATAATTGTTTAGTCGTCAACGTGTTAATAATAAACCAGTTTTAAAAATCACTGTTGAATGATAATTATTATTTTTTTAAAGTAAGTACCTAATAACATTAAAAAGACATTTATTAAACTATTATAATTTATACTTATAGTTATAGTTATAGACCATAGCCTCACAGGCGAGCCTGGATGTAGCTATATCCAATCCGTAATTTCGGTCAAATTAATTCACAAACCGCCGAGGTACACCGATGTGGTTTTGCTTGTGAACTGAGGTACTTACACTAAAACTGAGATAGACCGATCGAGATATAGCCGTATTTAATGTTCGCTCATTTTTTCCAGGGCGAAGTCAGGGTATATGGCTAGTTTTATGTACAAAGTGAATCTCCAAGCACGCTCACCCCTATTTTTCTTAAACTATGCAGTTATTCAAAATCTAATTTTTGGAATTTTCAAGCATACTTACGTAAAGACTATATTTTCAAATTTTAGATTTTTTTTTGTACTAGGTACTCAAGAAGTGTCCTGTGGAGTTACAAATTTCTTTTTTTCAAATGAGATCTCCCTTTTTCCATTATAAATTATCCAACTGATATTTTTTTCTGAAATTGTTGACGTAACAGAAATCAGTAGCATTATTCGAACGATTAGTTCTTGTGTAATAAGGAGTAAGGATAATAGCCGTCATCCACATTATTGAGTTCGGAAAATATGGGAGCTTTAGTTTTTTGAACATTTTAGTGATAAATATTAATCATCATTTATTTATCACCACTGGGATTTTGAAAATATGGCCTTTAAGTATATTTAAATAAATCAAATTTTGAATAACTGTGTTTGGGGGGCAACCTGACTTGAGCAGCCGTGACGAATCGAAGGTGTAGTGAGTGTCGTCAGGTATTTCCAGCTCATGGGCGATAGCGGGCGTACAATTACTGTCCCGGCGATGTACTGGCACCATCAAGGCCGTATCTGGTGGGGGGGGGGCCCCCGAAATTTTTCTCGTTATTTTATGTCGTAATAAAATAACTATTTCAGTCTAGAATAATCGATAAACATTGATACGTGCATATACGAATGACAGCTATGGTCTACGTTATAAACTTAAAAATAACTTCACTTCGGGTGTACCTATCAGCTGGATTTCTTGATAATATTATAGGTACATACTACATAGGTATATATGTATAATACATTACCACCAGAATGTGTAATCGACAAAGAACTATTTCTTAGTATTATATAGTACTATATCTTATCTTAATAGTCTTTGATAATAGTTAAAACTTTTTCATGGGCAATATTCATTTCCAATATTTAGTTGACATTTGGTTTACGTTCTGACGTTTTAGTGTGCTACGATTTACGAAGTGTTTAATTTATTTATTTGAAATGGCAAAAAGACAAAACACTATGATGAATAATTTCTTTATAAAAAAGCCTAAATTAAATTTATTGGAAAATGAAGTCGAAGACACACCACATACATCAAGTTTATGTCCAGAGTTGAACAATGAAACATATACCTCAAACGTTAATATTTATGATATTGGGAAATATTTGAATCAAACTGTAAGTAACGAATTGAAGTATAAATTATTAGTAAATAAATGGACACCCGATGAAACTTATAAATTTCCCATAGTTGGAAAAAGAAATTTAAAATTCCAGTTTAATTGGTTTAAACGATTTTCTTGGCTTGCTTACACAACAATAGGCGAACAAGGAGCAATGTGCACGTTTAATAAATGTACTAATTCTGAATTAGAAGCAAGTGATTTCGAATTATACTTAGAGTTTTTAGATTTGGATGCACTTTCGAACGAGTTAAAACTTTGGAAAAGAAAATGGTGTGATAAACCAATATTAGAACGATCTCCTGAAATACTTGAAGCATATTCAAATTGTAACAAAAATTTTTTCCCAAATATTTCATTTTTATTAAAAGTTTTGGCAACTTTACCAGTAACTACGGCGACACCGGAAAGAACTTTTTCGACGCTGAAAAGAATAAAAAATTACCTAAGGAATGCAACTGGAGAAGACCGATTGACTGGCCTAGCATTACTCAGTGTACATAGGAATATCGTTGTAGATCCAGAAGAAGTAATCAATCGTTTTTCAAATGAAAAACAAAGAAATATAGAGTTTGTCATATAAAATATAAACCATTTTTCAAACTAAATGTATAGAATTAAGTTTAATAATCTAATTAATATTAAGTCTAAAAATTTTTTAATGTGAATTTCATTAATAAATACTATTTATAATTCTACAATATTATGAATTTTTAACCATATTTAATTACCTACACAATATTATAATACAATTAGAACACACATTTTTGGTTTACAACCCCCCCCCCCCCGAAATTAATTTCCAGTTACGGCCTTGGGCACCATGGACGTAAGTAGGGTCCTCAAATGCTTACGGCTTGAGCCCAAAAGGTTTCAAGAACAAAATGAGTGGGAGATTTGTCGTCCGGCCACTATAACTTCATACACAACATTTTATCTATGATACGATTGAAAGCTATCACAAAATAAATGTAAATTTGTTTATTGAATTTTTGTATACATTTACCTATACAGTCTTATACAGTCATAAAATACAAATATTACATATTATATTATATTATAATTTCATCCTTCTTTCCTTCTCAGAAAACTTGTTTATTATATATTAATTATTTATTTTGTTAAATGACTGTTTCTATGTTTACAATTTATTATAATAATGATTACCTATATATTAAAATATCTTAAGGTATCTTAAGGAAGTCTTAAGATGGCTCAGGGAGGGTTAAGCCTTCCTAAGCCCCCCCACCCGATTTACGTCCATCACTAGCCTACGGTGATAGTGGACTGTATATGAAGAGAGGGGAAAAGGTATAGGAACTTAGGATTATATAACAATGTTGTGCTGTAAAATTATTGTAACACAAAATTTCGATGGTAAAAAAGTACGATAATAATTCAACATATGAAAATCATAATAATAATGAGCAACAAACGGTGTTCATCGTGTAGTGTTAGTAGTGATAATAGATACCACTAATCAGGCTTACACAAGGTGTATTGATATCAATAAACGATAAAACGATTGATAATAAAATTATATATTATATATTATATAATAGGGCGGCCACGACCGATAAGACGTATACCAATACACCTTGGCCACGACCATATTATTATATAATCGAGCGATAACGAACATATAGGTATTACATAATAACCCAACCTTTACGTGGAGACTCGGGCCGGTGACAGGAACTATGGTGACCGGGTGATGTAAGATGCTGGTTGCAGGTGAACTGGTGGCTGGATCACTGTCCGGTGGTGTGACACTAAAGCATGTGAAAAGACACAGGGTTGGTATCCGCACTGACTGGGCAGAGGGGTGCGTAATCCTTGCGACAATCGCCCGAGGTTGTACATTGCGGACACTTTCGGAACATAGGACTAAACGGATTTTTATACTTAGTCCAACCTAGGGTGGTTACTGGTTGGTCATATTAGTACAAGCCGATGGCACGGTAGAATAGGCAAAACGCAATACGGTGGTGTGACTCGGCGGCGGAGCACATTCAACCGGAACAATATGTCGTCACGAAAACAAATAAAACGGTTCGCCAAACCAGACTGGACTGGACTAAAAGGCCGCTGGGGAATTAGGCCGTCCGACTATATAGCAAGGCAAGTCTCGCGGGACAGTGATAGACAGCGACCTTGACCCGTGTTTCGGTGAAAATAGTTTAATAGAAGTATAGAACATGTGTATTCGTGGCTTATCAGGCACCAACAAACTGCATTATTGAAGACAAAGAGAGTGAGTATGCTCGGTGAGTCATCATATATTTTAACCAATAATAAATTTGTTTTTTAATAAAAATATGCAAGTATACTTTTAGAATTTTACTTTTTCACCGGGACCTCTGAGTTTAAAGTACTGCACGGCAGAAGTTTCCGGCGTACCTATATAAAGTTTAGAAGAACTACTTTATCGTCGATAACGGTAATTTTTCCCTCTCTGTCTCCCTGTGTCTTTCTTGTTTTTCCTTTTGCTCTCTCGTTTTCTCACCATACTGTACGGGCACTAGTGCGGGTATTGGGTATGTGTGGGTGTGTGCTTGTAACTATTATTATACTGCTACACCACACTACGTTCCGGTTTTGATTTAAAACCACACACGATCGTCGCTTGCGTTATCAAAGAATGTCATCTCGTTTATATTCTTTTTAACCACGAATCCGCTTCGGCCCATATACACAGCTGATGGTGCGTGTATAATGATGTGTACAACGTTTGTCGCGTATAAATATCTGGCGTAATGTTATAAACTGAACATATAATAATATTATACCAGAACAAAATAACCCTCCCTAGTGCCACCCACTATATAACGTATTCACAGCCATGCGCTGCTTTTCTTTTTCCATATAATTATAGACATTGGTTCGGTTTCCACGATACGATAATATACATTGTAAACGCGCATATATTATTGGGATAATGTATATGTATTTAGTGTTTGGCACTTTTCGTTTTATCGCGACGCCGAACGAGAAAACGTGTGAAAAATCCCAACAAATTTTTACTACCGTCGTAACGTCCAAGACCACACTACCGTGCCGCCCACCCGTTGGTACGAATAGTACCTATCTATCAAGTTTAACTTCATCATCTCATTCGACCAGACGATCATCCCTCACGAACGTCTACAGATACGCATTTATTTACAGGTTGATCATTTCAATAGCAAACACTCATAGTCTCAGAATTATAAAAATAAGCAATTATGAAAAAAAATTTGAATGTACATTTGGAATAATTTATAAAACAACGTTTTTGAAACACACATTAAAATCTTTAATATTTGTTACATTTTTTTAAGTTTTTAAAACCTATTTTGAATTCCATATTCTAAAGCAGTCGCACGCGAACCGTTGAATTCGCTACAAAGGATATTCATTTTTGTTTAAATATTCTATAATTCTATATATTAGATATATTATTTCCTTTTCTCCAAATATTGAAATGTTCTTATCGTTGAATGTAATAAAAAAACATAAGTGCTAAGGGGATTGCATACGGACAATTATTTCCACCAAAATGAACCAATGTTTTGTTAATCATACCGATATTGTAGAATATTGTAGAAGATAAGTTAATCTATGCCTGTATAAAAGTCAATTTTTGATATTTTAACTACTCGACTCAATAATTAAAACTAGAAAAGTAAAATATCACAAGTATTATAAGCTAAATATTGGATATTGAAAATAAAATATCGAAAATCGATTCCTATTCAAGCCTAGATAAACTTCTCTTCGATTTGTTTAATAGGTGTTCATACTGTAATGTCACTCAGTAAGCTATACTATTGGAAATACGAAACTAAGTTTCAGTGTTTCACTAAAATTCACAATTAGTGTGTAAAGTGCTGCGTTACTGACATGTGCGTGTACGTGCGGGTGCGCTCCGCTATTTATTTTATACACAGTCACCCACTCTAATGATCACTTACTACGCACTCATTTACACGACCCGCATGCAAATAAATAGAAAATTGCCTATATTGAACTCCTTAAAAAACGGTCGGTATCATACCCCTTAACACAGACCAGAGGCTAACCTGATAAGATTATAATATTATAATAGACAAACTGCTCTTACTACTAACTCTGGGTGTGAATCTATTTATTACTCGGTAAATATTATTCTAAACATTATTTAAAAATAAAACTGTTTCTATATAATATCCTCCTAATACCCACCTGAACATCTTACGGTATACAACTAGTGTAACCAAAAAACCAAACACTAACAAAATTCAAACATTCTAGTCATTTTAACTCAGTGTGATAGTCCTGACTTTCAAACCATTTAAATTTCCTAATATCTTTCCTTAGAACTAACTACCTTTTTAGGAATTCCTACTAGAAGATTATAGAAAGTGTTCCAGTTGTTTAAATCTTAACTAAATGTTATCCTGGAAGAAAAATCAAATCTAGACAACTACTAAAGTACCACCGTTGGATGGCTGTATTTTCATGCATGTCAAGTCATGTCACATTTACAGATTATATTATATATAATAAAGTAAAATAAAATATAATATATGAACCACATTATTTTCTTTAAGCTGTTTGACTACTAAAAGTAAAATTTAGTTTGAATGGTTAATTCGTTACAACTTATAAGTTTAAAGGTTTTGAAGAGCGGAGAATAGTGGTCCAACTTTAAAAATTAAATATCTATTACATCTATTAAATATCTATACCCAATTATAAAAATATAAAATATAGTTATTCAAAAATTATGTTTTATAGTTAATTTAAATTGTGTAAACAAATATTTTAAAAAAGTTATAATTCTTCAAGACAATGAGTTTTTAGACTTTACTGCTAAAATAATCATCCAGTGTATAAGTTATTTATTATCTAACATTCAAACGTAAATATAGGTATCTTTATCTGTGCTTCCTTACTTTTACTTATCTTTTTCTCTTAAATTTATTCTTCTGAATTGAAATTATGATCATTGCCGGCAATAAATAATGATTTATCATAATTAATCCACCGTTGCGTCGGGATTGCCTGTTCCATTCACTATGATTTAATGTGATTCTATTTATCAAAGATATACTTTATCACCCGATACCCATCAATCGGTTTGACAATATTACATAATATTGTAAATTTGATTTGTAAAGAATTATATTATCTGTTTGTTGTTTTAGTTACTGCTGTGCTCTTAAAATTCTCTCCCTTTTCTTATATTTATCAATTTATTTGATAATAATATATACATATATATTATATTCCTGTATATATTATTTTTGTTCTTCTGTTATTATGTATTATTATTGTTATTATTATTATCATAATCATTATTGAATTATGAATAAGCTAAATATTATTTTAAGACTATATTATAACAGTATTTTTTCATTTTTACAATTTATCAATAATTTGGTTGGTTTTAATCTTAAATTATTTTTTTAATCATAAAATATTAATATAAAAATTAATAATTTACTTGTACTTTTTATATTTTTATATAATTATATATAGCAGATTAAAATATAAATTAAATGTTCTTATATTAATTTGAATATAAATGTATTGGATTATTATGGCCAAGTTATAGGTAGA